TCCATTGAGGATTTTTAAAAGATCAATAGCGACAATTTTGACGACTAGTATGAGTATGGCTGTGAATTAAAGTGCATTTATCAGAAAACACACGATCTAGTTGGATAACATTGTCAGATGAATTATAATTTTTTACTCTCATATAATAAATTTGAAAACCACACCATTTTTTAATAGAGAATGACGAGACCTTTCAAATGAGGTATCACAAGCCCCTACATACAAATTTGGGGTTTGCAATTGTCCCCGAAGAGGGTGGAAAGTAGGGGTGAAAATTGCAGATTGCAGGCTCTCATTTCCGACGTAATTCGGGATTTTTTATAGATATGTGAAATTTTCACGTTGTAGGATGTCATTTAATGATCTAAAATCGATCTACTCCGGGATTTTTTTTATAGTTATGACAGTAATTAAGCTACTGAATTGATTTCATTTAGCTGTTACCCACTGTATACAGGGTGTCCCGAAATTAGACGGTCATATTTTAACAGCATCTACATCCTAAAATATGAGTAAAAGTTCATATAAACATAGGTCCGAAAACGTTTCTTTTCCGAGATATAGGGTGTTAAAAGTTTAAAGATAACTAAGTAAAATTTGGTACAAATGCTAACCTTTTTACGCTCTATCTAATGGACTAAACCCCAGTTTTTTTGGGTAAAGGGGGGCTTAGGGTAAAATTGCCGTAAGTTTTTTTTGACTATAAAATTTGGAAAACCAATGTTTTTCTTTATAATAAAGTTACAATTGTTGCATCTCGCTAGGACGCACCATTTTCAAGAAAAAAGCATTTGAAAATTTCAAGATAAGTTATTCGAAAGTGTAAACAATAATTAGTAGGCCTGTGAAATCAGAAATTTAATTTTTTTTTTACTTTGGAAAGCCAGTGACTAAAGAAATTTTAAAATAATATTTACAAAAATAGGCCATCAGGACTTCACTTGTAACACCCTGTATCTCGAAAATATGACCGTCTAATTTCGGGACACCCTGTATATAGACGTGAAACAATTAGGAACAACCTAATCTACGTAAGAATCTTAACATTGGACTCAGATGTAAAACTATGGGTCTTAAACCACAATAGGTACCAAAAGTTTTTAAAAGTTTCATAAAACGAAAAATATGATAGGGGTTAGAATTACGAGCAATTCCAAATTTTCATGTAACAGTAATCGAATCTAACATGACCGTTTTGATCGGAGATAAATCGTCCGTGGTAAAAAAACCGATAGAGTAAATATAAAAAAATTTGTAAAAGCACTAAATATTTTATCTGCGTTAGTACCTATCCAACAGAATATATACACTATCGGCCACCGAAAGTCTTCGAATACACCATGCACAGGTGCGTGTGGAAGCTGCAGAGAGTTGGTATTGGAGCGAGAGTGAAACTAATAGTGTCAGCGTTGCTATTTATACGACCCGATCGCGTTGTAACGTCGGCCAGGCCATATAGGCTGGCCTCGCTGGTTTTGTTCCTTTCCTTTGCTCTAGTGCTGACTTTATGTAGTTTTCACACGCACTTGTGCCAAGGTATATTAGAAGGTATGCATTGGCCGATACGTATGTGATAATTACGTCACTGTAAAAATCCAAATATGGTTATTATTCAATAAGTGTTCTATGGTAAACAAAATGTCCGAAAAGTGTTCTATTTTATTTTTGAATTTAATTCAAATAAATACTCTACCTAAAGGAACGAAAAGTTAAAAATAGATTACAGGCTGTATATTTTACTAATACCTCGTCTAAGTTTAAAATGATCAGCCATATAGTGACATACGGTTCTGTTCTTAGACCTCTACTGTTCATTATATACGTCAACGATCTTACTAAAATATGTACCTACCTTTGTGAAACTGTTCTTTTTGCAAACGATAGGCACAACCTTTATCTCAACTGGAAAATATCAATCTTGACCGTCAAATTCTACCAAGGGTCAGTGGCACAGCGAGGGGGGTTTTAGGGGTTAAACCCTCCCCCAGTTCCAGACGCGAACCCAAACGATTTTGAAATTGAACTAGGTGAAAAATTAGTATATGTTTTAAATACTCCCAATTTTTTTCAAAACCCCCCTAATACAAACACTGCTAAGGGTAGAAGAAATGTCTTTAACTCAGTTTATAGCTAAAGAATCAGTTCGCTCACTCTGCGTCGGCACTTTTGATCTCAATGTTCCAGTTTATATATTGTGCAACTCGGATTTGGCGCATACAGAATCAAATCATAATAGTCCAGGAGCCCATTGCAAATTTTTACCGCCATCTGATAATGAAATAAAATATACTCCAAAAGCTTGTAAAAACATTGTACTTTACCAAATGGCAACTGTGCGAATCCCAATCCTGAGCAAAGTGGTTTTAAAAAAATATATAAAAAAATCACATAAAGCATGACAGCACTAATTTTGTTTGCCCTTAAAGTTTTCCAGATAATAACATATTCAAATATCTTGATATATATCGTTAACGGGAAACATTTTCTTCCTCTTAACATCGCACAAAAACATCTACACACGATTAGTAGGTAAAAATCATTAAAAATATGAATCAATTTTTGTGGCATGTTTGGCTCAAAAACAAGCCTGAAAATGCTTATTTTTTGCTTAATATGAGCATTAATTTCTTTCTGTGTACCAATCACGAAAATGAGCATAAATTATATTTTTTTATATCGATAATTTATCGCTTTTTGTCGTAAATTTGTCGTAAAAAAATTGTCTCTCAAGTCCTTTTTGAAATAAACCCCAGGTAATGCCAATTTTGATGGGAAGTTAGCACTACCAATCAAGAAAATTAGCATAAATTATATTTTTTATATGGATAATGTGTTGCTTTGTTGTCGTAAATTTGTCGTGGAAAAAGAAAATTTGTCGCTCATCCCTTTGTAAAATAACCCCTGGTAGTGCTAACTTCACGGTAAACTTAGCACCACCAATCACGAAAATGAGCATAAAAGACATTTTTGTATATCAATAATTTTGTCGCTTTTTGTCGTAAATTTTTCGTAGAAAAAAATTGTCGCTCATCTCCTTCCTAAAAATACAATTTAGTGAGGGTATAATCAGGTGAAAGAATTTTTTAAATGGATAAGTTATACTAAGGGAGTCAAAAGTGAGACATATTTTTGAAGTTTGTTACAAGAAAGGGGGGAGCGACAAATTTTGTTTTTCCACGACAAGTTTACGACAAAAAAGCGACAAATTATCCATATAAAATAAATGTAATGTTTGGTCAGTTTGGTGATTGGCAGTGCCAACTTTACCCTTTGAAAAAGGGTTGAGCGACAAATTTTCTTTTTCCACGAAAAATTTACATCTAAAATGCGACAAATTTTCCAATATTCAAAAATTCAAAATTCCACGAAATTTCTTAAAATACCTATGCTTTTATTCAGTCAGTGAATCAGTCTATTTTAAAAATAAAAATGGTATGTAGGTACAATTTATATCGCCAGGATTTTACCGTCTGATAATTTATCGAAAATTGCAAGTAATTTGTCCAATAAACTAGATCCAGTTTTGTTATTATTTTTGAAATATATATTTAGATTTAGGTATTCAGAAGCGTGCAAAATTGTTAGTTTTAATTTTTCTTCAAAAACGAAGGACCTATCTAAGATGCGAACAAAATTTAAAAAAAAAATAATATTTTTAGTTAGTTTATTTAAAAAAATTATAAAGAATTAAAAAATATATACTAATCGAAGAGTCCTGTGAGCACAACTCTCGGATTGCTAGATCTAGATACCATGTGTAAAAACCACTTCATAAAGTTGCAACAATTTAAAAAAAAAATCGGTCCAAGACATTATCTAATAAATATTTGTTAAAAAAAACTTTATATCAGAATCGAAACAAAATTGGACAATTTTATCGGATAAACTATCTATATTTTTCGGTAAACTATGAGCTGGTAAAATCCTGATGATATAAACTGAACTAACCTGTCTACATTTTAAGTAATGTCAGTGTCTGGAAACATCGTTTATTTATGACTTGCAAATGTAACCTAAGTACCTATATCGTAATAAACAAAATATATTTCTATTTTATTACTACCATGTATTAAAAACTGAAACCTCATCCACCAAAAAAATGCTATGAACTTTCACCAAAAAATTAATTTATTTGTAAAAGAAACGTTTCATCCTCCACCAAAACTTAAAATTCTGTATGCCTAACGACAAAAAATTGCATTGCATACCTAATTATGAAACGTCGTTCTTCCGCCAAAACTTAAAAAAGTGTTAAAAAACTGCATTTACCTAATTAATGTTATGAGATGTTCCTCCGCCAGGATTTAAAAAATTGTCAATAATAAAAAAATTTATAAGAATTATGCCTAAATAGGTATTTTATTTTATTTTATTTTATTATCACTAATAAAAGTTATAGGTCCTTTTAGATATTTCATTATATTTTAATTACCTTTTATCAGTTAATATCCAAAAACATCACAAAACACAAGTCGATTTTTTATAAATAAAAATCACCATTAGCCCAGAATTTCAACTCATTGCATCTCGCCTTCTAGAAGAAATCATTAGTTCATACATCACTCGTTCCGTGGCGTCATCGGAATTAAACGGGCGTGGTCTACGTTCCCCTCAAAATAACTCGCAGCCAACCCAATCGCCTCGACCAATCATCAGCCTGTTGTCGTTCACCCATTTCCATAGTAACGACCAAAGGACGCACGCTATTAGTCCTGCCGTTGCTATGGCGATTCTCTCCCACCACCGTTTTGTATTTGACTATCCAACGCTCTGGGTACTTCAGACTAGCTTGTAGTATCTAAGTAAACAGGCTGCGAGAGGTATTTGTTTTTCCAATCAGTGTAGGTTTTGGAATACCTAAAGTGTTAAGTTGTTTGTGAATTTGATCGTGATGTAAACAATGAAACAAAACCGACGTTTGAGATAGAATCAATTGATCGTTTCGACAAATACGTTTTCAGTGTAAACTAATAGTGCAATATTACTTTATTTAGTGCAATATGTTGACGCAAAAACTTTACCCGGATGTAAATACTATGTCTACTGGAAGTAACGCGATGTCACCGATGACTAGTACTTACTCCATGAATTCTATGGCGATGGCGGCGCAAATGAATTGTTCACCGCAACCGATGTTCGGCTCTAGTATGCTGAATTCGGGAATGTCACCTTCCATGCCTATGAATAGAATTCCGCCTAGGATGGACCAATCAATGAATGAAACACCGCAATTGGGATATTCAGCGATAGGATCACCGATATCTAATATGAATGCTTGTATGGGAGCGACAATGTCGTCTATAAACAATTACAACGCTACAATCGGTCGCGGTGATTTAGGCGGTGGTGATACATCACCAAACAGTGCGTTACAAAGAGCTCGTGCCGATAAAACTTATAGACGATCCTACACTCATGCTAAACCTCCATACTCGTATATATCGCTAATTACTATGGCTATACAAAACAGTCCGCAAAAGATGCTAACATTATCCGAAATATACCAATTTATAATGGATTTATTTCCATTCTACAGACAAAATCAACAGAGATGGCAAAATTCCATCAGGCATTCATTATCCTTCAACGATTGCTTCATTAAAGTTCCTCGAACTCCCGATAAACCAGGAAAAGGATCGTTCTGGAGTCTGCATCCAGATTCAGGTAACATGTTCGAAAATGGTTGCTATCTTAGACGGCAAAAACGGTTTAAAGATGAAAAGAAAGAAATAATCAGAGCGTCGCATAAAAGCCCGTCACATAGTGTCGATAGTAGCAATAGTTCCGGTAAAAAAACACCTTTACAACACGGGGATGATAAATCGCATCATTTAGATAAGAACAATGAGAATTTAGGTTCAATGCTTAGCTTACATCCTACTAAATTAGATGTAGATCAAATGAATCTACTTAATGCGAACGATTTGCATAACATGCAGCAGCATCATCATCACCAGAATATGTCGCACGAAGAATTATCAGCGATGATTAATAGAAGTAACCATTTAGCACTTACTAGTGAACACCAAGCTGCTATGCTGCACCATGCTCCTATGAACCATCACTTGAAGCAAGAACCAACTGGGTACACTCCATCGAATCATCCGTTCTCCATCACCAGGCTGCTTCCTGCAGAAAGTAAATCGGACATTAAGATGTATGCTGACATGCAGTATGCTGGATACAACACTCTGAGTCCTCTACCAAACTCCATACACTCTCATAGTTCGATAGGTAATGATTATTATAATAGCCCTTCTTTATACCACACGTCAGCGGGAACGACGTCCTTGTGACAGTATCCTTTGGCTTAAGGATTTTATCGTCTCGAATATTAAGTTTTTTTTTATATACCTACCTATTTGTAAGATTTTGTAATTGACATTTTTTTATCTGATTTTAAATTTGAATTGTCGAAAATCTGGGAATATAATATATGGGTAATGTAATCTCAAAATTTAGGAAATTAGGGTATCTATAATTTGGAAACGAATAACGTAATTACCTTAACTGGTAAGATTTAATTCTAAAAAACCTCGCAAATTAAAAATCCAATTACCTAGGTAGGTATTTCGAATATACATAAATGTTGATTTAAATCTGGTAATTTAACTTATTCAAAGATTTTTCTTTGGATATTTATTTTTTTATACTTACATCGCAGATATTTCAGAATTCGACGGAAAATTTCTTATTAAACAATAAAACAAGAAACAATTCGGAAAAGTTTAGTTTCCAAGTTCTTTATCATTAGGTACTTACTAACAATTATTTAATTTTGAGTACCTAAGTAGGTATCCAAACTTTGCTACAAAATTGTATGTATTTTACCAAATTTTCTGCAAATTTTTTTCAAATCTATTTTTTTTAGGTACACTTAACATATCATTTTCTTCAATTATTATAATTTTTAAAATAGTTCTTATTAAGGAATAAAAATAAACATTTCGAAAAAGTTTAGTATTGACGCTCTTTTTTTGTCACTTCTTTTATTTAAATACTTAAATAATCAAATTATTTAGTTAAATAACAATAACTATTCAAATTTGAGTAGCTAGGTATCTAAACTTTCCTACAATATTAAACTTCAATTATGAATTTTGTTAAATATTGAATTTATGAGCTATATGTATTTTAGGGAAAGCGCTTACCAAATTTTCTACAAACCGATTCTTCTACACATAATTAACATTTATTTTTTTAAATTATAATTTTAAAATTCTGCAATTATAAATAAATTTAATTCTGTCAAAAATCAATAAATACAATTTTAGAATTTCTTAATTTGAATATGATTTAAAAAAAAAACTTTAAATTTAAGTAAGTAGGTATCTAAATTAAATTTTAATTGTGAATTTCATAAAATATTGAATTTTTAAGCTATATGTATTATAGAGAAGGTAATCAAATTTTTTACAAACTTAGTACAAATCGATTTTCTTTACACTTTACATATCACTTTTTAAAATTCTGGATTTATAGATAAAAATAATTCTGCATGTCAAAAACCAAAGAAATTACATTTTAGAATTTCTTGAACATGAAACTGAAGTTTTAAATAATACTTTTCAAATCTATTATGAAATTATTCAAATTAGCACTAAATTGCACTTCAATACAGAAGTAGAACATTGAATTAGTATGTAGCCAGGCAATTACCAATTTTTTAGAAATTGATTTTCTTTACACTTTATATATTCTATTTTTTAATTATAAATTTAAAATTGTGCGATTATTTTTCATTGAACAATAAAATAAAAAAACAATTCTAAAAAGTTTAGTTTCGCAGTTCTTTTTTTTGTTACTTTTTAATTATTATGACATTTAGAAATGAATAAATGCAAATAAAACTATGCAATTTTGTGTAGGTATTGACAAAATTAAACTTCAATTCTGAATTCTAACCACGCCTAATAGGATAAGCATTTAAAAAAATTCTACAAACTTTTTTAAAATAATATATAAGTACTTTCTTTGAACTGTCTTTTGTAAAATAAATAATTTCAAAATTTAGCAATTATAGTTATGTTTATCTGATTCTAACAAGAACCAAAAACTTTAATTTTCGAATTTCTTTATTTGAACATAAAACTAGAATTTTTTTAAAAAAACTTTTAAAATCGATTATTCAATTTTGAGTAGGTACGTATCTAATTATTTGCTACAAAATTAAACTTGAATTCCGAATTTCTTTATATTTCTTTATACTTTACATGCCCTTCTTTTTAATTATAATTTTAAAATTCTGCAATTACAGATAAAAATAATTCTGTTGAAAACCAAGAAATTTTCGAGTTTCTTTATTTGAATATGAAACTACAGGTTATAAGAAAAACTTTTAAAATCGATGAAGTGTCTAAGTAATAATAATTGGCTGAAAAAATTTGAAAATTCGTATATAAACCTCAAAAATCCCCTTACCAATTATTATGACATCCTCGAACCCCAAAGTAGATTTGAAAAAAAGCCTGTTGGTGCTGTGGTGCTGGGATTCGAACCCAGACAACTTTGTTCTGTACACAAATGCCCCATGTCTAGACCATCACGCATTGTTTGTCGAGATTCCTAGTTTGATGTGCTAAATCGGGCCAAGCGCCGTTTCAGGTTCATTCTCAAATCTTCAAATTTCTCTAAACAGCATCGATGGTATATGAGAAATGCATTGATGCAATAATTAATATTAAAATTTTAGTAGGTATCACAACTTTTGCTACAAAATTGAACTTCAATTTTTTTATTTGAATTATAAAAAAATGGTGGCTCCGCTACATTTTTTGGAAACACCCTGTATTTATTTTGGAGAAGCGCTTCCCAATTTTCCTACAAACTTTCAGCAAATCTATTTACTTAACACTTTCCATGTTCTTTTTTAAAATTATAATATCGTTTTTTGTTTCTGAGTTAGGATTTTTTTAAATATTTCAATTCCCCTTACCCCCAGCTGTATCTTTAACGTGTGGAGGGCGGGTTACCCCCATAGCACTTAGGCCCCATTAGGCCCATTGTGCATCCTCCTAACATAATAGGCACCTCCTAGCTCGTGAGCTTTAATGTAGTTGATGACGTCGCCACGAGGTGCTTCTCTTATATCGGCCGGTGTTAGCCGATACTCGCGGAACACAAATCTTCTAATAAACGAAAGCGTCGAGTAATCGTAAAGGATATGCTCGTTGGTCTCATCTTCTTGTTCGCACCCTCTGTAAAGTGCGGATTCTGACAGCCCCATAATATGGAGATGCTTCCGTACTTGGCATTGACCAGTCAGAATGTCTGTGACTGTTTCATCCCATCTTTCCTTGAATTTCACAAGGGAATGTTCGTTAATTAGGTTTTGTCACTACCGATTTTGTCAGGCCAATAAAAGGGCCAGGTCCAAAAAGTATTTGGTTGGCTGCTTTCTTGGCTAGTGAATCAGCAAGACGCTTACCTTTCGATGTGACGTGACCTTTGATCCATCTTAAGGTGACCACATTGTTGATTGATGCTTCGGCCAAAGCTTCGTGACATTCTAGTACTAAACCCTGAGTAAATTCGTGGTCTGTTCAAGGTGAGTAGTGCTTGACTGCTATCTGTATAGATGAGCATGTTCCTTCCAGTGATATTGTTTCTGGTTATTTCTTTTGCTGCTATGAGGATCCCCGTTAGCTCTGTTTGAACTACACTGGCACTATTGCTCACAGCCCATTTTATGTTTAGGGTTAAGAATCTGGAGTATATTCCACATCCTGAGCCTTGTTTTGTTTTAGAACCGTCGGTGTACATATGAATCGTACCTGCCACTTCTGGTTCTTCTATTTGTTCTTTTATAACTTTATATGGCTTATGGAAGATATATCTAGGTGAGATGGAGTCCATGTTCGCTTGAAGCAGTGGGAGCGTATCGAGCGCCTCCTGCCAAAAGCGATGTCTCGTCTCACCAGATCCTACATCAGGATCTATTCCAAACGTGCGGAGGCATGTCATTGTCGTCATAGCAACCTCCTTGATGTAAATATTAAGGGGAGTGAGACTAAGAATGACTTCCATGCCTCTGGTCGGTCTTGTTTTCATGGCTCGTGTTATGTTGAGACATGCTGTTCTTTGAATTTGTTCTAGTTTACGGATAGCTGTTAATTTTTGGGTTTTCGATACCTAGACAACTGCACCGTATGTTAGCATAGGTCTTATGATAGCCATGTAAGTCCATGCGACGACTCTGGGGGAGAAACTCCTTACCCCCAATTTTTATTTAGTTTTTTTCAGAATCAATAGAATTCATTCCCCTAAAGAGCTTGATTTTTACTAAAAATTTCATGTTGATATCGTTTTTCGTTTCTTGATTTTTTTTATATTTCAATCCCCTTACATCTCCATTTTTATTCATAGGCTTCGGTCTTTCATAGAGCTTGATTTTTCTGAACATTTCAAGTTGATAATGATTTTTCGTTTTTGATTTATGATTTTTTTTTTAATATTAACCCGCATTCTCCCTGAGCTTTACCCCTTTTTTTATTAAGATATTTTTTCAAAATCAATAGGTTTTTCTCCTTAATTTTTCATGAAAATTTCTAGTTGATATCATTTTTCGATTTTGACTTATCGTGCGAACAAAAAACGTAATATCAGACGAAATGACGCGCGACGGACATTTTTAGTTGTTTAAAATTTGTTGAGAAAGATCTTGGTACAATTTTTTTTAAATTCGGATCAATATTAAAAATTTTGGTTTTTTTTGAAAGTAAAACCTATACAAGATGTTCCTAAACATCATGTCATAATTGAAGGAGGTAATTCCTTGGCACAATTTATGACTAAAAGTTTATATATATACATGTGTCCTAAATTGCTTTGTTTCCAAGTTTTCAAAAATAATCAGTTTTTCATCAATATCATAAATACTCTTCTGCCGATTTTGATGAAATTTGGTACATTTGTTTGTTTGAGTAAGAGGCTGAGTTAGAAATTATCAATTCCAGTGCAGTACCCAAAGACAACCTTATTAATATTTTTGACAAAAAAAAGCACGCCACTTTGTTTTTCCACATTGGAATTAATAATTCAGATATAACTAGGTCAAAATTAGTCACTTACTACAACAAAGAGTGTTTATGATATGAATGAAAAATTGATTATTTTTAAAAATTTGAATACCCTGTATTTTTGAAACAAAGCAATTTAGGACACATGTATATATAAACTTTTAGTCATAAATTGTGCCAAGGAATTACCTCCTTCAATTATGACATGATGTTTAAGAACACCCTACATAATAAAGGGTGTCCCAATAAGTACTTGAATTTTGAATCGCGCGCCATTT